AATATGGAATTCGAGGTGACTAAGGAAGGCCTACGGTTATCCGGAACTTCGGTTGGTCTAACGGAAGAGTGAGTAAATCGTCAATCAACCTTCGGAGGCGCAGGCTGACGGGTATACAGTTTGATTTTACATTATTTAAAATGTGGAAATCGTCTCAGAACCCTTCAGGCTTTTGCAAAGGCTGTCTACGCAGACATAGGGTTAGTAGGGACTCTCTCAGTCCACCGTTTGGCTGCTCTAACTCATTCATTCAGCTCCTGTTGTAAAACTCGAGTCGGGCTGGCACACTGCATTCAAATTATTACTGTTGCTGTCCAGCATCGATTGACAGTTCTTTTCACAAGCATCGAAAGCATTTTGCAGCTTGATGATATCATCAGAGTTCCGACATTGATCTTAGAGGCGTTGCTCAAGATTGTGGAGAGAGTAGAGGATGCAAGATTGGATTTTCAACTTTTGTCCGCCACCTTTGAGCAGATACAGCGATCAGAATATAAGAGCGACTGGTTGCGACATCTGCTATTGTTGATGCTCCAGAGAATAACACGTCCCTGGCTTACGATGGTATCAAAGGCCATTGGCATTACTATTGAAAAAACACCGTTTGTAGACGATATTTTCGAAGATGAAGGCTTCTTCATCGAACTTGGCGACCCTGTCCCGCAGGAGGGAGAAGAGGAACCGCACATTGACCTAGTGAGTACTATATCTATGGTCCTTTACTTTGTCGTCTAGCTAAAGTGTTAGATATTTGCCCCCTCCAACATTCCGTCATTCCTCATGCTAGAAGAGGCAGAGCGAGTCCACGAGACATCAAGAGGGTTGAGATTATTACGACGGTTCCACCCTAACCATCCGCTTCTAGGTGATCATGGGGTGGAAAGGGTTAAGATGCGGTGGAGTTTTTCATGGGACGAATTACAAGCGTAAGAATTCTGAGACCGGCTGAACTGGATGGAACTAATTATACTTTAGGATCGATCTTGAAGCCGCTGCCCACGAGAAACGCCTCCAGCTCGCTATGCAAGCGTTCAACCTCACCAACAGGTCTCGCTTTTCGAGATTAACTGATCATCCGCGGTTAGGAACCAATGACGGGTTTTCGTTCGATTTTATTGGAAAATCTGAGGAAGAAATCAAAGCCAGTCTTGCGGCATCTTTGGAAAATATGAATTTCGAACCACAGCGGCAGTTCGGATTTGAAGGGGTAACCGATGACCAACTAGGAAATGAAGCACTTACCGTCGAACCAATAACATCAAACCAACCAACGACAGCTAGATATCCGCCTCCATTATCAGTCACGTTTTCACTATCCATCAACCCGGTCCTCCACGCTCAGGCGAGGCTCACTAATATGGCATGTATGCGATTGCTTTTCAAAGAACAGCGAGTACAGAGCCAGTACGAGCTTCTCCATAGTTTCTTGCTTTTTGGTGACGGTGTTTACGTCTCCCGGCTATCGGCTTCGCTATTTAGCGACGAACTCGCAAGTGGAACTACAAATTCCGGAATCAGATCCGGGATTGCAATCGGCGGATGGGGTTTACAACTCGGTGTACGAAACGACTGGCCGCCAGCGTCGTCCGAGTTAAGACTAGCGTTGATGGGGATCATGGCTGAATGCTATGCCTCTGGTATTGGAAGGGGGACGGGACATAAAGAAAACGACGATCTTCCAGGTGGACTTAGCTTCTCCGTTCGTGAAATGACAGAAGAGGAGGAAGACAAGTGCAAGAACCCAGATTCACTTGAAGCATTGGATTTTCTGCAGGTTAGCTACCGACCGAAAAGTCCATATGATACTGTCATAGATTCCGTCAGTTTGGTGAAGTATGACCGGCTTTTCAAACACTTATTACGAATCATACGCATGGTCTATGTAGTAAATAGGCTATTCGGGTACACGAATATCGAGCGGGGGAAAGGGCGACTAACGACGAATCCTATCATCCTACGATTCCGAATCGAGGCCCACTTCTTTGTCTCAACTCTCGCGAAGTACATATTTGAAACAGGGGTGGAAACTGTTTGGAAGGAGTTCGCGAAGAAGCTCGATGAAATCGAACGTAGACTTGAAAAGTATGATATTTCAGATCGATACGGCGAGATGGAGAGTTTGGGACAATTAGCGGCCTATCACAATAGTTGCCTAGACCAGATGCTCTTTGCGACAATGCTACGTTTAAGGCAGCAACCGGTGTTAAATCTTATTGAAGAGATATTTGGTATGGTTCTGAAGTTTGCAAAGATGGTTCGGTTGGAGCATATGGGGGTTGTGGATCCCTTAACGCCAACTGATGACTCGGCGTTTGGGAAGCTGTATGGAAAGTTTAGGAAGCGCGTTGGGATCTTTATTAATGTGGCCCGGGCGTTGAGTGAGAGGAGGGGCTATGGTGGATTGGCGAAGAGAGAGTCGGATCGCAGCAAGGATGCCTTTAGAGGACCGGGGGATGCAGCAGAGGGTGGGGCATTAGGACAACTTTTGGTCAAGTTGGAGATGTCTACGTATTATGTGGATGCGGCCAAGAAGCTGTAAGCAATTTTAAGCGATGGCATTCAATATCGGGGTCTTAAGTAGATTAAATTATTCTTATTGTATATGGGCTAAAATGTGGTTCTTTAGAAGGGGCCCGCGAGCTTATGCCCAGTAAAATTGGCGGTATCATATCGCTGCTATAACAAAACTTCAACTCATGAAGCGTTACAAGTTAACCGCCAATGCTAATCTTGAAAATACAGAGACAGAATGAAGAAGTAGTTCTCAATATACTTTTCTTCAGAAATTTAAAACTGACAAAAAAATGTCCAAGAGTTGCGCCGATAAAGTCAAAAAAGTGTATACAGTCCCATGGAACCCCCAATCATATAACATGTTAACATCGTAATACCGTTCAACAAGTAAATTTTAAAATTAAAAGATATATATAAACTGTTATCCAAAACTCCATTCTAGAATTCTTCAGCGAAAACTAAATCTTCCTAGAAAAGCCACCCAACAGGGAAAATCATAAACAGTGCTCCACCAACGCTACCAATTATCAACAATACCACAAGAAATCCTGGCGGTGATATAGTATTTAAACCCGGTGCATCGAAACCCGGGAAACGAGACCAAAGCCTTGCGCGGATGATTGCTTTCTCTTCCGGGCTAAAAGTCACAGTTTGAACTTCGATATTTTCTGAAATTGCTCTTGGAGCAAGTGACCTTGATGCCAACTGACCCTCTGGTAACTCGGCATCATGGTCGCTAGGACCCCAGTGGTGCGACCCATCCGATGGGGGGGATCTTGGATTTATTATAAATGTCGAAAATCGTTTTCGAAGGATACCATTGAGGGAGTTGAGAAAAGAGTTTTGTTCGTCATGGCGATTCTCTTTGAACGCTACGATCTGGTTGAGATCTTGGTTTGGGATAGGGCCAGCCAGGGCTTGGAGTCCAAAGATTCCAGCGGAGAGGAAGAGAGATAATGTTTTGAAAGAAACCATTTGAATTTGTTTTTGAATGAGTGTCGTAGATCGATGTATTGTGAGATCTTATAAACCTAATGTGGTAGTACTAGGTAGTTGGACGGTTGAATGAAACGAATGTAGAGGGTTGCTGAAAACTGGGGCCGATCAACAGCCTATGTTACGCTGCTCAGCAGACGTAAATGAAGAGTACTTGAAGTACCGAAATTAAGTTGAAGCTTCCAGGCTTTAGGAATCGTAAACCAAGTAAACACAGGAACTTGGGGGTTCAAGTAGTAGTTATATAGATACTCAGGCACCGCATGGTGTATCAACAGGTGCCCGGCCTTCGGAGAATAAGGCTGCATTGGTCATAGAAACTATATTTCAGATAACCCAAGTCCCAATGGCATGATATCTGAAATGACTTAAAAGCGAGGGGAACTAATGATGTTCCGATTCAAGAAGCCTTGAAATGACTATGGAACATTTTCCTTCCTTTTTTCTGTTCCGTACATTTTCGAATACCGTCCACATGGTTCATAAACGCCCGCTACGTAAGAACCAACTGCGCACTACACGGAGTCCACCGACCCAGAAAAATTCTAGAAAATGAAGAAAGCTTAGCCGGTTCGATTCAGGTCAACTGTTGGCTAAAACGACTTTAAAACCTCTCCGCTTTAATGTATTTATTCCTCGGAACAGCTGGAAATGCGAAGCCGAGAACGTGGCGTTGAATGTGTTGATATGGGGTTGGGGAGCTGTCGCACCATGTTTCGAAAAGATGCGACAGGGGTTTCTTGACAGAGCTTAGCAGAGTCAAGATGTATCATCGAGCCCAAGAGGTGCTATCCTGTACATGGTCTAAAAATGGGATACTCGAGAGAAAAATTGACATCTTACCTTAGCCCCCGTATCGTTGGTCTGGCCTCGCATCGCACCGGTATTGCGATATATCGATGTCTATAGATCGATAACCTTCTCTGCGCTGCATTGAAATTGAGAGTTGAGGTGTTGTGTTGGATCGACAATGATGATCGTTGCCACTTTTGTCGTTAGGGCGAAAAATTTCATCTCCTAGCTGTAAACTGTTAACGTTAACTGTGGATAGTCAAGGAAACACGATCGCTTCTAACTGATCTAATTATGATGCGGAGGTAATACTTTTGGCATCAGTAGAATCCCTAAGATCAGAGGAAGCTATATTCCCAAAAATTACGGGATTCAGTTCATGTTTCGTGGAGATATTGGACAGTAAATGCATGCATCTGTAAAACATCCTCAACACACCTTTTCGGGATCAAGACTATACGCACAAGAATCGCGACAGCTCAGTCAATTTCAGGTCCCATGCAGTAATTTTATGGTCATTTTATAGGTATGTGGTAAGTCTAGCAGCATATCAAGAAAACAGACGGTTTGGTAAAATATTGATTGATCTATCAACCATTATCTAAAGCAGAATGTCTCATCGTCAATTTTGGGCTATTGTCAAAAATATAAAAAAGTAATCTTTGCGGATGCATCTACTGCTTCTCAAAGGATGGAGAAGCCCGATGCGGGGGTCGAACCCGCAGCCTTCAGATTAAGAGTCTGACGCTCTACCGATTGAGCTAACCAGGCAGATTGCAGCTTGTTGGAGACCTCAGTGTCAAAAGTTCCTATATATAATCTTTATCACTGGCAGCTGATGCAAGATTTATCAATTTTGGTCTCTACCAAACGCAGTTATTGAGTGAGATCTTGTATTCTAGTCTGGTGTGTATTCTTGTACCCAGTGTTTCGCTTAGGGAGTAGTCTGGGGGTCCTTAGGGAGAGCAAGTTTTACCGAAATTTCCGGTCTAGTTTCCGAAATTCCTGCTAGTTTTCCGGGCCAGAGAGGACTCAAGTTTTCGACTGAAATCCATGGAATGCTTGGGCAGCATATAGTCTTGTACACGGGGCAGCATAGAATACCCTTTAACACAGCCTTCGAATTCATGTGTACATTGACGTCTTTGGATAAAGGAAACATGCAGAGAGCGATATAAAACCCAGTCTTCACCCAACAACAAAAGTTCTCCAACCAAAATCACTCTAACGGAACAGCCGAATGTAATGGTATCATGCTAGTTCCGTGTTGAGAGAAATTGATACCTATGTATACTAGGATCAAGGCCTGAGAACTTTTATTTGACCTAGGAATTAAGTTTGAAGTTGAGTTTAAGGGTTAAGCTTAGCTTAGAGGCCGCTGTGTGCAAAATTTCTAAAGCTGTGGTATCGAAAATCTCAACCGAATAATTATATAATGCGCAGGGCTTTGTCGGCAAACTCTGACCTTGATATTTCCGAGACCCACTTTACATTGCATAGTGGATACCTTGATATCATAACGACAAAAATTCCCCGATCGTCTCTTTTAGTCCAGATTAATACCAACTAAATGGATATGGAACAATATTGTGAATTGTTATAGCTATCACGGGTTAGTTATCACCAGTGCTTAGAATAGCAACAACGTTGCATCCGACTCTCAGTTTCTCACCAGGGTGTAGTACGTAGTGGCGACTCGAAGGATTCCCATATTAGGATTACACTCCGACCTTGAAAGTATTCTTATTCTGCCATAGGCTTCTATTCCCCCCAGTTTTTCGAAAATTCTTCCGCAGGCTCAGTTGCACATGGCACCATTCTTGGCTATTCTTAGCATTCAGCCACTACCGACGGCATGTTACCCTACAGGGTAGTATCGGATCGTCCCTAGAGCCTCATGGCCTCAGCCGATCCAAAATTTCCACCATCCCTGGGTAGTGTGTTCGGTTCACTCGGATAGTATCTCCCCGCATCTCCTGACCATGACTTCATATGATAATAGGGTTCATAACGTTTAGTTATGTTTTGCTTTTTATGACGTTCAGCCGTAGTCGACATGGTATCTCGTAAGAGAAAACTGTCAACGGACCCTGGTATTCGTCATCCATACTAATTTTATGAATCTCTGAATGGTTTTCGTGTATATAAAGTGGGAGGAATATCCGCCGTTCTATTGGGTTCTTATTAACAGTATTCGACCGCATCCACAGATCTCGAACACTTGTAGAAATTATTATTCAAACCTCTTTAATTCAGTGACCTTCAACATACTCCGCATTTTTTTAAAATTTAAGCATAATGCATTTCTCCAGCCTTCTCGTCTCTGCTGCCGCTGCTTTCGGCCTCTCTTCCGCCATTATCACTGGTATCTCGGCTCCAGCTACAATCAGACCTGGTGATGGCTTCAACTTTTATATCAACACCGCAAACTATATCCAATCAGTTGGTATGTGATTTAAAACTCTACTGAAGCACTAAACAAAATTTATCTCAATTGCTAACGAAGTTGTGAAATTGTAGACGATATTGCCATCGCCGTTGGTATCGCTGGCGGAAAGGGTTTCCCAGGAGCCCTAGGCCAAGTCACAGACTCGTGGTACCTTGGACCCGAAAAATCCAACATCGTCACCCGAATCCCCCACTGGACTTCCATCCCAAGCACCACTCCAAAAGGAAAGGCAACTTATACCGCTGCCATTTTCTCCCTCTTTGGTGCCGCAGATGCACAAACTTTGGTGACTTATAATGTCACAGTCACCATTGGCGATTCTACCTCAACCACCTACGTTACCAGCAAGCCATGAAGGGAGGATGGAAATTAAGGAAGGTCAACGACGATAAAAGTCATGATTCATGATTGAAATGTGCATACATAGCCAGAGAGCATAGCATTGGGAGGAGTTTATTTGATTCTCTACTTGTTACATACACTCCTTAATTACTAGTAATATTATTTGAATGCGCATATGCAAATCGATATTTTGCAACATAAATATGACTATTTTCTCCGCTAGATTAATTAGGTACCAAGATACTCGATTAAACAACAACCCCAATGGCTATTTCCGCTGGGGAGTCCAAAAAAACGGGCGAGCTTGTCCTTTCTGGGGTCTGTAACGACCCGCATAACCAGGAAATACTTGATGATCATTACTAGGTTGGTTAACCTTACAGAGTAGTCCCCACAAAGAAAATTCATGGATCGATCCAACAAAATTAAGACCCTATTCCAGGCAGAAACATCTACGTTCCCTGAAATCCCGCTGCCTATCGATTTCCCTGGCACCACTCCACAATGGCAAATCATTCCCGGGCTCAGGGTAACTGCACCTGTTCGCCATCTAGAAACTATCTTTCCAACGTACTTATATATACCGAAGGAGAAATGTAAATGCGGATTGAAGTAGCCATATAGGTATGCATAGAGGTTGTTGTATGATCGACTGTTAACCCACCAACTCGATATCGTATTGTTGGGTAATTAGGGTTAACCCAAAGTTAAAGTCTGTCAACGAGGGATTATACAATAGAGAGAATAGAAGTCGTCTCTCGGCGCTTTATTAATACCTCATTTCTATTTACTTCTGGTAAGTGACTTTAGTGTTCTCCTATCTCGTAAACCAAATGCTATCGCAGGTGCTCTCTGCTGATCTGATATGGCACTCTATAAATCTAAATTTCTTCCGCGAAGTTTGCATGGTGCCATATAGACTTACTCTGAATTCATGAATTCCATGACAGACTTGGGGAGCTTTACGGCTGATCGCAGCCCCTGAGAATACATACAAATTCATTTATTATGTTGTTATAATTTTGGAGGTCTTTATAGTATCATTCGGACATTAGAGCGATGCAATTTAATAAAACCTTAAGCCTGGTACTTGTCTTGATGCTGTCTGAGTTCAGGCAATTGTACAGTTGTACAAGAAATCGCAACTGGTGCTCCGTTCCTTAAAATTATACTTTAAGTCAAATTGATATAATGCAAGTAGACTCTAGAAAACATCAAATGGCTATATATATTTACTAAATATAGCTCTAGCTTAATAAGTTTTCACGATAAAAGTCTAGCCGAAACTTGGAGTATCGATACAGAGGATTCTTCGGCTCCGCGAATTCGAATGAAAACTCGGGTAGCTCAGAATAGAAGCATTTGCCGTTTGCATTGACCATAGAACTAATCGAAAGACATGTAAAAATACTTGCAACGTACCAATGTATGATAGCTAGCTAAGATTGAAATTGATTCTGATTGCGTGTGTGTGCAAAATTGTTTTCCTCCGTTAGTCTCAGAATTAGTGGCAGTGACATTGAGACATCTGTGGCGTCAATGGTCAAGAACCACAGCCTTATGCAGGATGGCGACGATGGTGTGACAATCGTAGGCTAGTAGCCAATCAGCTGACGGCCTTTTGCGAAGCAGTGCACGCTTGGCATGGCATGCTTAGATTCTCGAAGCGAATGAGCTTGGCTTCAAGGGTAGAGTGGCTAGTGATATCCATGTTTTATCGGGGACAAAAAATATTTTTTGTCTGCTGCGGTTTGACACCATCGATTGAAAAGGTATTAGTCTAGAAACATTTCGCTTGAACAATCATACACGATCGTGTATATATACCTTCTGTTGACCGTCTTCTGATTCCTGCTTTTTCTTATCCAAACCAAACCAACATCTTACATTCACTTCAAATATATAGTTACTGGGTAACTACTTCAATTCTCGACCTTTAATTCTTCTTTTATACCTTCATTCATTCATTCATTCATTCATTCACTTACTTTTTTTCATTTTATTCATTACACTTTTTGTCTCGTCTGGTTCACGAAACAAATTTACTTTCTAAACTTCTAATTCCTTGACTTTATTTCATTTCAATCTCAACTTCTTAAAAATGCCTTCCTACACTAGCATCCTCGTCTGCAGCATCTTGGCCCTCGGTGCCTCCGCTCAAAACGATTACGGATACGACGCTTCCGCCCCACCAGCGGATTCCTATGGTGCCGTTAGTGAATCAGCATCAATCTCAGCACCCGCTACAACATCTGTAGCAACCTCTATTGCAACTTCTTCTATTGCGACTTCTATCGCAACTTCTATCGCAACCTCCATTGAAACTTCTATCGCAACCTCTAGCTCTGTAGTAGCATCCACTTCCTCATCTGAAACATCTTCCGAACCTGCCAAAGCAACTGCCACGGCAGCAGCTTGTCCTATCAAGTTCGACACAGAATGTGGGTTTCTTTGCAGCGGTCCAAAAATTTCACCAACTTGCGAAACCGAATGGTATTTCAGCAAAGATGCAAGCTGTACACCCTGCAATGGCATCCCAGATAAATGCCCCCCAACCCCAGAGCCATCTTGCGCCTTCGTTTGCAAGGCTCAAGGTGCTGCTGCGACCAAGGGAGAAGCCGAAACACCATTTTGCTGGGCTACTGATATGACCAAGGAAGATGAGATCACTTGCACTCCCTGCGGTGGTGACTACAATGTAGCTTCTGCACCTCCACCACAGTCTAATGTTACTATTTCGACCCAGTCCCATGACAACGGTACTGCCACTATTTCGACTAACCACGGAAACACCACCACCTATGCTCCACCACCAATCTACACTTCTGGAGCCTCAACTATTACAATTGGTGCTTCTGCAATTCTCGGGTTGGCTTTGGCTTTCTTTGCTTTGTAATTAGTCATTTTTCTTTTTGTTTTCGCATTTGATCTCGCATGAGCACTGGCGCAAGGGTTGTTTTATTTTTTTTGAATACTTTCG